GGCAGAGGAAATTGCTTACCTTATGGCAGCTAGGAAGTACAGAAAGAAGGGAAAAGTCCAAGGCCTCATGTCCCCTTCAATGGCAGGGCCCTAGTGACTTAATTTCTGTCCACCACCTCCCAGTAGCACCATGGGGTGGGACCAAGCCTTTAGCACATGGGCCTTTGGGGACATTTCATTTCCAGACATAGCAAGATGTCATCTTGAGGCTGTGGGTGTAGCTGTGCTCAGCATGCAGAGCCTAGCATGCTTGAAGCCCTGTGTTTGATCCCCAGCACCAAAAGAAAAAAAAAACAAACCTCCATAAGCAGTTTGGAGAATACTTCAGTGAAAAGGAATTGAGAAATTAAAATACGGGCAAAAAAGGTGTCAGCAAGAACTGGAAAATGATTAGTTGTGATATATGGCCAAGGAGATGTCTTTAGTAATGTTTATAACTTTATTCTCAAGCACATTTGTAGTTTTAGTCCTTGTAGCATTTCCTTTGATATTTTTCAGATATGGAGCTTAACGGCTTACTGCACACAAAGAATGTTCATATTACAGAGTCGCCTATAATTTCATCACAGAGGAAATTACTATTACTACTTAGCCTATACTTTTATCTTCTTTCCTCAATGTGTGTTTGTGTTTTAAATTAGAATTATGGTATACATACTATTGTGCATCGTGGGATTTTTATATGGTATGTCATGAATACCTTAGTATTAAGTATTTTCCATAGCATGATTTTTAATGGCTCTATAATATTTTTTCACAGGGAGGTACTGTACTTATCTATTGTTAGAAATTTATGTTATCTCAAAATATTCACTAAGTTTTTGATGGACATTCCTGTACATAAATCTTTTTGCATGTCTCTGATTGATTTTGGTATAAATGATGAATTCTAGGTTAGAGATAAAAGTAATGTTGTGTTTTTGACATACATTGCCAAATTGCCCTCCAAAAAGATTAATTAGAAGTCCTTTTTTTTCTTTTGTTTCTCCCAGTTTGGCAAAAATATGCTTCTTCCTAACCTGCTTGCATTTTGTTGTTATTGTTGTTTGCTTGCTTTTAAAGATTCTTCACTTAGAAATTAGGTAGAATTTGTGCCAGGGATTTAGCTTAGTGGTTCCGGTGCCTGCCTCACAAGCGCAAGGTCCCAAGTTCGATCTCCGGTACCCCCTCCCCCCCAAAAAAAGATTACCATTATGGGCCGGGAATTTAGCTTAGTGGTGCCACCACCTGCCTTGCAAGCGCAAGGTCCCGAGTTCGATCCCCGATACCAAAAAAAAAAAAATTAGGTAAAATTTGAAAAGGAAATGTTTTGTATAAAATATTTACTTACTTAATTTCACATTCTTTCTCCCTAGATGATTTGATGGTCATACTTTTCTCATATAATTTCATTTAATTATGATTCTCTTTGCTAATATAATAAGGTTGTAAAGGCAAGAGGAAGTATGGCTGTGTTCCTAAATTTTTGTAGTCAAAAGCCAAGAAACTGAGTACACTTCACCCTACCCTGTGCCCTTTGGTATTATTGTTCTTGTTAGAAAAGAAAATCAGGCACAGCGTGAAATGGAACAATGTGACAGATGGCGCGAAGGTTGTAGACACCGGAGAGCAGGCCATGGGTCTGTGACACAGCATTTCCTTTCCTTTGTGATTAGCTGTATAAACCTGAACTTTTTTCAACTAAATTGTTTGTTAATTTCAATATGGTGGATTATATGACCGTACCATTGTAAGAACCAAATTTGCATGGAAATACCTACAGTATTTAAAAAATCTCTTAGAAAGTTTCCATATTTCTCAGAATAGTGCATATGTAACTTTGGAGGTTGCTGTGTGGCCTATAGGCTGAAATGCAGATGGCTGATATGATTTTTCCCTAGGCCTGTGAATCCCAATCAAGGTTGTGGGGTTAATGAAAACTCTTGGTTTTTGGGAAGAGAATTAGTTCTTTATGGGGATTCTAAGGATTTGAAAAAAGTGAAAATAAGAATATATTGACAGGGTGCCAAAGTAGTGTCTAAAGCTGACTGGAAAATTGAGTTTAGCTGCCAATGACAGGTTTTGCCCAAAGTTGCTTTACTTGATATGAAGTAAGCAAGTTGGGTCTGTAACAGGTTGGCAAACCATGGCCCAGGGGCCAGACCTGGCAGCCACCTGTTTCTGTATGGGCTGTGAGCTCAGCGTGGGTTTCACATTTTTGTCAATGGTTACAAAATCTCCAAAGAATATTATACTATGATGTGAAAATGATACGGAATGGAAACTTCAGTGTCCATAAATTTTCTTATTGAAACGCAGCCGTGCTTGTTCATTTACATATTGTCTTATGGCCGCTTTTGTGCTTCTGCAGCAAAGTGAGTAGCTGTGATGGCACCATATGGCTGACAGAGCCTGGCGGATTCACACTCTGTCTCTGTATAGAAAAATGTTTGCTGATCCCTGATCTTAGAGTTGTAGAATCGTGTAGTCTGATCCACTGTCAGTTTTGAGTTAGTATTTAATCCCGAAGAAATCATTTTCTTTTCTGAGAAACGTGGCAGTTAATGGTCAGTGGTGACACAGATCTCACATGAGTAGTTGTTCCCCAACTATTTTTTTATGTAACTGGATTGTGAATCTTAGCTTATGCGACTGTGGGTCCTCCTGAGGTCTTTTCAGGGGGACCAGAAGGCAGAAACTATTTTGATAATGGTATTAGGGGATTCCATGCCTTCTCACCCCGTTGACTTTTGCAGCCATCATGCAAAAGTACTGGGGGTTAAACTGCTGTGCCTGTAGGTCAGGACAGTGACCCCAAAACTGCAGCAGTAGGCACTGCTGTGCTTTTAGCAAAATCAGTGCTAATTTCTCCTCAGAATGGCCTTTGCAAAGCAGTGAAGACTGTTACTTTTATTAAATCTCCTCCTTTGAGTGCATGTCTGTTTAATATTCTGTGTGATGAAATGAAAGTATACATAGAGCACTCTGCAAAGCTGAGCTACCACGGTTGTCTCATTTGGAGACAGTGGTTGCAGCCCCATGTTGAACAGCTGATGTTTTCAGGGGACCCCGTATTGCTCCAAATGGTTGGCACTATTGTCACTCAAACTTGGGTATTTGGCAATTTATTTTTCCTGAAAGTGACTGAAGTTAGTGGAACTTTAAGGAAAACAATTGATAGTATTTGTTGCCAGTGAGTTCTCAGCTCCACAGTAAGATTTTTGGATGACTTCTGCTACTTTGAGTTCAAAGCATTTTGAAGTAGTATTTTGCTACTTTGAGCTTTCCAATATTTAAAGAATTTTCTGATGAGATTTGTAGTATTTTGAACAAATGTGATTTTTTTTTTGGATATTGTAATAATGAAATGGGGTGTCAACGTTTGTCAGACCTGTGTAACTCAGGGAACCTATGTTTTCAGAATGATCCATGTGTTACAGACTAAAGACTCAAGCTGGGTAATAGATCCATTCAGTGTACAAGACAGGCCACTGGATTCAACAGTCACAGAAATAGAAATTTCATTAATAGGATTTTAGATTCCATATTATAGCTAGTTTCCTCGTGGAGTAGTTTTGATGTAGTATTAAAGAAGAATAACCAGTTACCTGAAAAGGCTATATATCCATGTGACATTTGCTCCATATCTTTTGACCAAAATAACGTATGACACATGTTATGCAGTCGGATATGAGGATCCAGTCATACTCTGTTAAGCCAAACATTAGCGTGATTTGCAGAAATGTGAAAGAGTGCTACTTCTCTCAAATTATTTTTTGTTTTGGCAAGTATATTTTTCATAAAATTTATGCTAATATGTAATGATCCTTAATGTTTTACTTAGTCTCACTTTCTTAAATCAATATAATGTTGGTAAATATTTACAGATATAATTGACATACACAAAAGCTATTTGGGGTCCTAAATCATTTTTAGGAATGTAAAGAGAGATCCTGAAACCACAGTTTGCCATCTGTTGTTGAAGACTGTGTTTATTCTCCATGAAGACAGTTTTATGAAATGGGAGAAGTAATTTTCACTGTGAAATAGTTCTGTAACCCTACTATTCATTTTCTGTCTGAAAATTAAAGAGTAAGTGTAGTCCAGAGTTCTCTCCAGAAGCCTGTGGAAGACTGAAACAGAAATTTCTAAAAATTCAATCCTTGAAAAAAATTAAATAGCATACATTTTCCAGATACAGATGGTTAACTGAAGGCTCACCTCTAGGGATGCATTACTTAGATATTATTTGTTACATAATTGTCATAAATAGTTACAATTTCATGATAGTGTATTATGCTTTATATGCATTAACTCTTCCTCATTTAAAGCCTTGCATAATAAGTAAATTATTAAGGAATTACTACTGTTGGCCACACTGTGTTAGGAGCTGGGATTTAAGTACTTTCTTTGGTCTTACTCCAAAGCTTTTGTTCTTTTCCCTGTACCATAATGCTATTTACAGCAGCTGTGTGCACAGGAATTATTTTCTGTAAACAGTTTGCAAGATCTTGTGGTAAAGGCTCTTTTTTTTCCTTTCTTTCTTTTGTTCTTTTTTGGTGCCAGGGATTGAACTCGGGTCCTTGCGCCTGCACAGCAGGTGGCCAAACCACTGAGCTAAATCCTCGGCCCCTCTTTTTTTGTTTTTTTGAGGCAGGGTCTCACTATGTAGTTCAGGGTGGCCTTGAACTCCCAGTGATCCTTCTGTCCCAGCCTTCCAAGTGCCTAGATCATAGGCCTGTGCCACCACGCCTGGTTTAAAGGCTTTTTGACACCAATACTAGAGAGAGACTTGTCTTCAGTTTTAGTTTGGGGATTAAGGCAAGAAGATTATCTTCCAGCATTACAAAGAGACAATGTAAAAGTGAATGAGCTAAACCAAAACAAATTGGTGGACACTGACTCCATGAGTAAATTATTGCCTCCCTGACTGAATTGGGTAGTGTGAAAAATGAACAGCGTGATTTGTGTTCTTTTGGCTGATGCTGAATTAATGTTTACTGTTGTGATCCTACTTCTAGGCTTCTCCAGTGACAGTGATCTGATATCCCTTACTGTTGATGTGGATTCTCTTGCTGAGTTAGATGATGGAATGGCTTCCAATCGAAATTCTCCCATTAGAACTTTGGGTCTCAGTCTTTCTTCGGAGTCTTCAGCACCAGGGGCTGTTGCTTCTGACAGCGAACAGAGCAAAACAGAAGAACGGGAAAGTCGTAGCCTCTTTCCTGGCAGTTTAAAACCTAAACTTGGCAAGAGAGATTATTTGGAGAAAGCAGGAGAATTAATAAAACTGGCCTTGAGAAAGGAAGAGGAAGACGACTATGAAGCTGCTTCTGATTTTTATAGGAAGGGAGTTGACTTACTCCTAGAAGGTGTTCAAGGTACAGTTTACCTACATTAGTTTGTTGTGATATGTTCTTATGTTGGTATCTGCAAAAAACTATGAATATGTAACTTTATCTTATCTTTATAATCCCATATTGAAACAAGATTGAAAATGAGAAATTACTAAATCTTAAATGACAGCATCAAAGGTATTGAACTCAATACCTTGATCAGTTGATCTGCAAAAATGGGATTCTTTTAAAAAGTCAACAAGTCTTCAAGTCTTCTGTAGGAATAAGTAATTATCTATCCTTCCTGACATGACTGCATTGTTCATGAGGAGTATTTACAGAGAATTCTAGTGTTTTTGCTCTCAACAGCTGAAAGAAAATGAGACGGGCTTTTTAAACTAAGAGTATAAAAAGTTCCTGTGTTTGTGTACCACTGTGTTCTTTGTTAGTTGCAGTAAATTCTCATCCAATAATTTAGGTGATATGGAACATGTAGAGCTAAATGTAACTCAGAGTCAGTAAGTAGAACTTTTCTTTTTTTCCAAAGCACCATCGTTTTGGTTTTTGCGTTTTCCTTATAGAATGAAGCATGCTGCAGTTAGTTATGTGACTTTCTGGGACACATTAAGCAGAGGTGGATGTGACTTTCTTCCAGTGATTTTATTTCCAGAAAAACTGTCATTTTCATTGTTGTTCTGTGGTCTTTGGTTTGTCATTGTCATTCCGGTGCCTCTCCCTGTGCCTTTCAGCCTGTATTCAACCTTCTACTTTATTCTTCCTAAGCACAAACTTAATTCTTAAAATGTGGCATAAGGATGCATACCAGGCTGTGCAATAGGGAGTGTGTGTTTGTGTGTGTGTATGTGTGCGTGTGCGTGCATGTGCATGTGCGCACGCCCTGGTTCCTAACAGCTTCTTAGCTAGATCAAGTCTCTTATTTCTAGCTTTCTCACCTGTGTTCATAGCTATCTACTCTGCAGTGTAAGTCAGTCAGCTTCTGGAATTTCCTATCAGTTACTGCTTGTCCGTGTATTTTCTAGCTTCTAAAATTTTCCTGCTATTGTCTTCTCCCTCAAGTCGCTTTATTCTTGTGGGTTTGTTTTTTTTTTCCTTAAACGCATTCTTTGCTCCCAGATAATTAGAGTTTCAGGTGGGGTGCAGCTAAACAAGTATGTTCAATTTTGCTATTTTTAACTGGAAATTCAGGTTTTTAAATTGCTATCTATGTACTGATATTTCAGTGGGTCTGAGGAATAAAAAGCTTTGAATGCTTTGTGGGGAATTTTGTTGTTATTTGTTTTTTTGGTTAGTAATTATTGTCTTACTGAAGTTACTGATACAATCATTTGGAAATAACAAGCAATTTCAAATAATTGATTGTAATATTTACTTCCTATTAAATTTTTTTTTTTTTGGTACTGGGGATCGAACTCGGATCCTTGCGCTTGTACCACTGAGCTAAATCCCTGGCAACTTCGTATTAAATTTTATATAATTTTAGCTATTAATTATAAGGTTTCTAATTGGGAAACCAATACTGAAGTTACTTGTTTTCCTGGTTTTGATATTAATTTTGTTTTTGAAATGGCTCCATCGTCTGTTGCGGTGTTTGCTTGCTAGTGGAGCATTCTGGTCTTAAAGTTCTACTCATTTTTATTCTTTGCCTTAACTCTCATCTTGGCCTGGGAATTTAAAATGGGGAGAAATTGCAAAAAATCTGCTCAGATCCCCTCTTTGCAGATAATTATATGCTAAAATTTCACCGGTGTTTAATTGACATAGGTAAAACACATCGGTATGACATCTTTGTCTTAAAGTTACTTGCATTTAATCTTAGAACACTTTATAATGTTACCACTTGATGGCAGCAGACAAATAAAAATCTCGGCTTCACAATGAAAATTATAGATGCATATCAGCAAAAAACAATAAAAACCTTCATTTAGTTCTTTTACTGATTATTTTTGGTGATTATTTTTCCACTGGTACTTGATACTGAGCCCACTAGACTCCTGTCTTAAGGAACGTTCATCACTTAAACATGTTCTCCTACTTAACGCACGCCTGTCCTTCTGAAACCGCAGTGCCCATTCCTGTTCTCGGTTAGGTTTTTTTCTTTGGTACCGGGGATCGAACTCCGGTCCTTGAGCTTGCGCAGTAGGTGGCGAAATCACTGAGCTAAATCCCCGGCCCTGGGTTAGCTTTTGTTAATGTGCCATCAAATCCAGAAGGATACTAATTGATTATTGTTTTTAGTTTTTAAAAATTTTAAAAAATATTTTAATTTTTTCCCCATTCCTAGCCCTCCCTTCACCCCCTCCACCCTTCCCTATTTACAAAGACTTCATTTCCATTTTTTCCATTTCTCATCATTTTTCCTTTCCCTTCTTTCCTTTCCCCTGCCCCTCCCACTACCCCTACCCCTTTGGACCTTTTCTTCCGATTTTGCATTATTGATTATTCATTCTAATCATTGGTACATTTTAGGTATACAATATAATGACATTCATCATTGGAAATTTGCACCTTTACATAGTCTCTCTTGGGTCTTACTTTTCACCCTTGCCCAGCCCTCCCTTCAACCCCTCCATTCCTATTTACAAAGATTTTGTTCCTATTTTTCCATTTTCTCATATTAATCCCATTCCCTTCTATCCTTTCCCCTACCCCTCCCACTTCCCCTTCCCCTTTGCCCCTTTTCTTCCTAGTTCACATTATCTATTATACATTTTAGTCCTTATTTACACTTTCAGTTTCTCACACCAGAGAAACTATTCGGTATTTACACATGTGTGTCCTGTTTATTTCACTTAAGAGTATCGCCTCAATGTGCATCCATTTAGCTATAAATGTCTCTTAATTTCTCATTCTTTATGGCTGAGTAGTACTCCGTTTTATAAAAACACCACATTTTCTTTATCCAGTCTCCAGTTGATGGGCATTTGGGCTGTTTCCAAGCTTTAGCTATCACAAACTGCGCTGCTATGAACATGGGCGCACATATATCACTGTGGTATGATTCTTTTAATTCTTTGGGGAAGATCCCCAACAGTGGAATAGCTGGGTCAAATGGGACTTCCAGTCCTAGTTCTTTGAGATATCTCCATACAGATTTCCATAGTGGTTGCACCAGCCTACGCTCCCACCAGCAGTGGAACAGGATTCCTCTTTCCCCACAGCCCTGCCAGCATTTGTTACTGGTTGATTTCATGATAGCAGCCATTCTTTCTGGGGTGAGGTGTTTTTAGTTTTTTTTATTGTGTATTCATAATGTGGTCAGTTTCATTCAGACCTGTGTGAACCAGAATCATAAAATTCTAATATTTTTCTTTCTGGCTTTTAAAAAACTCATCTGCCATCTTCAGACTTTTCATTTTTTGACAACATATAAAGGGAGCTCTGTTTCAGTCCCGATGGTTATACGCTTGCCTGTGCGTGACATGTGATGTTGGAGCAGTGTTTCCAGTCGGGATTCCGTTTAAGAGTATCCCAGTCATCACCTAATAGACACGCGGCACTGTCCTCTGTAATTTGGAGGAGAATTGGGGGCTCTAGCTTGTGAGCTTGATTTGACAGTTATGCTCAGTAAAGATTATTCCTCAGGGGAAAGTTGATTCCAGTGTGACAAAACTGTTGCTGAAACATCATTAAAATCAATAATAAATAGAAATCATTTTAATTTAACTCTCTTAACAGTTGTTCCTGTGACCTGGAGTTGGGTTGGCATTCTTTATAGTAAATAATTATTTCTGGATGTCTGATAATCTAGAGACAATAATCTTTTGGAGCTAAGTTGGAATGCTTTATACAGAGATTGTCATGGGTTGGAAACTTGTGTTATTTTATGGCCAAACTATTCCTGCTAAAGGAGCTTATCTGATTGTTAGTAGGTCTGTAAAGGTAGCTCGATGTTTTCTGACTTCCTTGGTGTTTGTGTAGCTGAGCCTCAATGCAAAGCGCAATAGCAGCAGTTCCCTGTGTCCTCCTGTTCAGAAAAGCACGTCCTGGTAGGAGTAACTCTGAGTTCTCTTTTTGAACTTGACACTTCACTTCTTCCCTTAGTCTAGACATAGTTCTTGAAATGAAAGTGTTGTCTACTCTTCTGAATTCTCAAGTCTTTGTGGATTTAAGAGAGAAGATCTAAAGGTCAAGGTTGAAGAAATCAACTTGAACTTTTGAAGAGAATGTTATAGCACTTATCTTTTTATGCCCATCTTGTTTATATATTACTGGAAATAGCTGATAGGATTAATCTTTACACGGTGGTCTTATTGGAATAGTTTAGTAATGTAGAGTGGCAAATGGATTACATAAAGGTAGAGAAATGGTTAAATAACAGTGACTTTGTATCTGTCACATGCCTGTCACTGCACAAAATGTTTTTCTTACATCATTTTGAATCTTCAGAATAACCCTCTAAGAGGTCAGCTATGGCTGGTCATACTGGGCTTCGTCTAAGGATACCAAAATTTAGAGGGTGCAAACATTTAATATAGTGATTTTAAGAGCTTGGCACCTACTTAGCAAGAATAATTATTTAAAACAGTAAGCTACCAGATGGTGAGCATTGTTAGTCACATCCATCTGTGGGCTACATTATGAATTACAGAATTGATTTGAGAGCTGGTTTTGTATAGTTTGTTCCAGGTGCCAAAATCACTGGTTTGTGGTATTTGTAATGTAGATATTGCTATCCCCATTTTACAGATGGAGGAAACTAAGACTTACATAAATAAAGTGATTTCTTGACAAAGCCAGTAAGAGTAAAGCCAAGATTTTAATCTTGGTCTTTTCCAAATCCAAATCTTGTCTTTCTTCCACTATCCCATGTCATTTCTCACACATTCCCCCTCTTACTAGATTAGCTTTTTAAAATGGAGAAGCAGCAGATTTCCATTATCAGATGTTGAGAACTTTATTTTGAATGTTCATTCTTTTTCCATCTCCCATTTGTTTCTGATAATCATTTATCACTTGTTCACCACGTGCTTATTACTCATATGTAACAAGCACTGTGATAGGGAATATAAAATGGCTTTCCTTGT